CTGCTGTTTTATAACTGTGCGAAGCGGAAGGTAGTTCATAAGATCAAATACTTCGCGGTCTTTTCTTAAAACAACGAATTTAAAATAAAATAGCGACTGATTTCCTTTACTTTTATTTTTAAAAAAGTAGCTGACCTGGCAAACTTCGTTTTGCTTCAAAATTAACTTAAGTTTTCTGATCTTTTAAAGTTTAAACCTTTCCTGGGCTTCCACGAATAATTCTATAGCAAAATTAACCAAATTGGTAAAGGCATTTTTGAGTTATAATGTTTTTATAATCAAGTAGGAAGATTCGTCTTATCATCGAAAAGCATTAAACAATGTTTAAATACTTATTTATTAGTGGTTCTGGTTGGGTAAATAAAACATTTATACGTAAAGTTCAAAAACAACTTTATTTCCAAGACATTCGACAAAATAAAATAATATAAATCAGTCATAAACACAATCATATAAAATCATTGTTGTTTGTTCGAATGTTACCGATAAGGTAAAGGTACTATAAAATAAACAAAAATCTAGTTACACGTTTACTTTGGCAATCTTATCATATCGGATGTAGCTGCAATGATTAACTTTTATTTATAATACTGCTATTTCTCATTCTCTGGTGAAAACATAGAACGAATCAATAAATTCCTGGACTCCAGGGCATTAATTTGATGACAGCCTCTTTCTTTTCATTTGAATTGCTTGTAGGTAATAATTATTGATACAGTTTAAATAGTTGTTTTACTGGTCCGTAACGTCGTAACGTACTAAGAACTAAATCCAGTGTACACCAGAGAATGACATTGAAATTATTCTAATACTGTCACTTCTATTTGGTATATTTGATAGGTCTAAATTTTTTAATAATATTTGCCTAAAAAACTAAATTATTTCAGCTCTATGTTGGCTTGGTATTACAGGTAAATAGCTAAAACTATTTTGGTCACAATCTAACAAATTCTAATGATATGGAATTGTTTTTAAAAATTGCTAGTAGACGACACGATTTGGTTTTGACATAATTATTAGACACCATTTTCATGTGCTCATTGTTTGTTTGATGATAAGAAATGTATTTCATACATATTATTTTGTGACAGAAAATAAGTAATTTTTTAGGGTATGTTAAAATGTACATTTTTGGATTATTTACCTTCGCGCCGTCTATTAGCTTAATAAATATTGAAATATTCAATTATTTTGTGAATTTTATAAATGGCGTGCTCATAATTTTGTTATTGAAGTTAAACTTGTCATATAATTTGATTATGTAAACACTTAATATTTTTGTAAAGATTATTCATATGACGTGTTTGGCGATTGTATGGGCGTATGTATGATTTCAAATATAAAAGTTATTGAATTATATCTTCTACACAAAGGGGACACCGAGAGACGAGAAGTTTATTGTCAATTTTAAGTTATTTTAATTTTGTCGTCATTTCAATATTCCGGTTGTCAGTGAAACGACAAAATATAGTTAACTATAGTAGAATCCATTATGATTCATATCAAAAATTTAAAAGCCATATTTAATATCTTACTTTATTTGATAGCGTTATTTGAAAAAATAAACAATAAGAAAAACTTGTTCATATAATCCACTATTTTATAAGTGGATAATTAGCTAAGCAAATATAAATTATATAGCTTTAGGTAACAACATTTGAAATCTCATACATTTGTACTCCCACTCCTTAAACACACATATAGTTAACTACAGGTTAACATACACGTTAATGCAAAACATCGATAAAATTAAATCTATTACATATGTAAAATATACAAAAATATGTATGTATTTCACACAGCCAGTATCAAAAACTATGCAAATATGAATATGGCATCTTTTTTTGAAAAGTACCTGCACACATTTTTGTTACTGATTGTATCCACAAAAACATTGACATGTACACATCATATATCACACACAAATACATCTAAAATACCAAACTAAAGCATGATTTAACAATAACACATAAAAATTACCTGCTTATTTGGGTTACACTGTTTAAAAGGAAGATACATATTTATAGTTCATATGCCCCACCTTTCCTGTCGAGTACCGGCACCAGTAAGACTGGAGTGTGTAAAAAGACTCTGTCAAATATTTTGTTACTGTAACGAGGCTTCAGTTGACATTTTAAACTAACAGATGGCACTAATACAAAAATTACGATACATTTAACGTTTACTTAATAAGTACATTATGTCTAAACATTGCACATTTCAAGACATTCAACTTAAAATTAAATAAGAATTATGTAAAATATTTACAAAAATAATAATTCATTGGAGACTGACACCACCTAAAACATTTATAAATTACAAAAGTTACGAATATTGTAAAATAAATAAATAAAAACTAGTTTTTACCAACAATCTAATTTTATAACAACATAATATTGAAAACATAAAACATTTTTTTTTATATTCTAAATACCACAAAGGTACCTTTTAAATTAAAAAAGCTATAAAAAAGTAATCATTGCTATTTGTGTTTTCACTGTAATAAGAATAGCTATTTTTTTTTCAGCATCATTTTATTTCGTCATGGACTATAAAATATGGAAGTGGTCCAAAATTATAGGTAGTACAGTTAAGACACACACAAGCAATAATAGTATTACTGATTACAATACAATAGGTACCACTAACTTATTTGTTCAGATGGATTAAATGTCTAAACAACATCCATTGTTCGTATATATCAAAGGAACGTATAATAGCACGATGTCTGTTAGTCAGACAAGAATGTTACTTTTGGCAAATAGCACATAAATATTTATATTTGAATCTGTGATTATGTCTACGGTACACAAGTACTAACGTAGGACAAAAATGAACTGACTTAAAGCTAAGTAAAATCAGCGAACTAGATAATTAATTTCGCTGAATAATAAGCTAGTGGTATTTAGTATAAATAGGTACAGTTAATGCTGCAAAGACCGTTAATACAGAGAGTCTCTGTCAATCATTCGTGTCTGTAATACATTAATAACTTAATGCAAAGCCATAAAAAGAATTCACGTTAATTGCAAAGTCTTTTTATGGCGCCTAAACATTTGTCACAAAAACTTATTCGAAGTAAGTTATAATTTTACCACGAAACACGCTGTAATAACAGCCCATGCCCAATAATTTATCTTATAAAATTTACATTTTAAACACCTAGGTTATCAAGGAAGCATTCATGAGAGAAGAATAAATAGGGAATACAAGAATTGATTAAGTTTAGGTAAATGGTTTTATTAATAAATAAGAATATAGTGTATTTTTGAATGCACCTTTGAAAGTACAAGATATAAGACAGATATTTGTGACAGTTGATCGTATGGTCTACATAAATTTGTACAAAGGTATACTATTTATTATCTATATGGAGGCTATAACTGAGAGACGAGGTGAGACATAATTTGATATATAGTCATTTTATTTACCCCAAGCCATGGCCATAGCAAAATACTATTTATGTGCACTCCTTACGCTTTTATTTGAAATGTTTATTTCTAAATGACACGCTCTACAAGTGATATTTCTTTTTCTGTATCACTTTTCACCTCGTCTTCGTTTTAGGAGAGCACCATCGACATATCATCCAAGCATTCAGGCACCTACTGTTAGTTTCATACTAAAACCATTTGATTTTACAGCTATTTTTGTTCTAGTTCATACAATATTGCACCGTTAGCCACATTAGGTTACAAGTATTTTGTTTCTTGTTAATATTAACACATACTTCCTATCTGTTCATGATTAGGGCGTTTTAGTAAACAACGCCATCTGTTGATACACTTTGTTACGATGTTTGACAGATCGATTTAAATTATCCAACTGTGTATACTCTGCTTTATTTCAAATTATATTTTAATCTTACAACCCAGGAATTTAAAAAATATGAATATTCACTTTGGTGTTATTATTTAAATGTGCTCCAAGCGTTATATTTAATAAAAGTGAACATTTGGCACCTTTTTTAACTTAAATGTATTATCATTTAGCTATTAAAATTATAATGTGCGTACTATTGTACTATAGCGGAACTTTGTCTGTAATAGAACCATTACTACCTAAAATAAATTATTCGGTCTTCTAAATTAAAAATAAAACATACATAGATATATCAAAAATATTTTAAACATAATTTGCACTAGATTGTACTCATCCTCCTGTTTATAAAATGCACAATGTACATGTCACATTGTCATTTTTTAAATCTTGTTACTTATTCAGAATTATTAAAATGTATTCATTAAACGAATTTCCAGATTGTTTTCAACCTATCTCGGTAATAATAACCAATTAGCTATCGCATATCTATTAAAACCTAACTTAGAGATGAGAAAATATACTAATTTGAATGTCACAATTTCATTTTTTACATTTTTTTAACAAGAACCACTTTTTTTTTTCAAAGTTCTATTACAAACAAAGTTTTCTAATAACTGTTAAAATTCTAACTAACTTGCACTGTCATTGATTATGTACAAAATAATTTGTTTCCTATAAAAACGCTTTAGGTACTTATTTATTTACCCGTGTCACACAACTGCTAAGCTCATATATACATAAATAGTATAAATATCTATTTTTTGGATCTGACCACCCTAATGCCTATTCAAAATAACGATCCACATTTTGGCAAATTTAAATTATTGTTCTTTTAGCCAACGATGAATTATATTTTATTGTAATGAAGTAGTATGTGATTCAAGGCAAGTGTATATATTTGCAAGACAAATTATTTGTTACACCAAATATTCGTCTTATTACAAATGTAATAGAAGTCGGTATCGTTTGCCAAATCCGTACGAAATGTGTATTATTTAGATTTTTTGTCAAAATGTGTAATGTTACTCTCAATTTTATTGTACAGTAGTTAATTTTTGTTAACTTTTAATTTTAGTTGCCGACACTAGATGTCGCTTTCTTCAAATGATTGATGTCGAGGTCATATGACATTGTTTCACAATTTTGGATCGAAATGTAAAAGTTAGCAATATTTTAACTACTTTACATTAAAAGTAAATATAACAGACAGGTCTGTATATAAATAATAGTTTTAATACTCTAAGATGTTTGCCTTAGAAGCATGGAGTCCAGGATCCGTTGACGTGGTAATAGTAAGTAATTTTGATACTGGCACGAAAAATGTCTAAATTTGAGACACTATCGGGTCGTCTTATGATCAATCTGAAGTGCTATTAATAACTTAAACACTTAAAATCAATTAGTATCAATAAACTCGACTAGTTTCAAGCCATCCTGCTCAAGATTATAGGCATATTTCGTGGCTTGATACTGTTCGAATGACTTTTTTGAACAGTAACTTAGCCGTACAATATAACACACCAAATACTCCAAAAAAAGCATACTAGTACCAAATCTTCAAAAAAGCGACCTGCCTGTTCTATTCACCGCCAAAACGTATATTCATTACGAACCTCATTTTGCGACATTTACCATACTTCACACTTATCTCTAGGATTCATTTTGGACCCTATAGGGCAGTTGAACTCTTCGGAAAACTCCTTCAAGTTAGCTATGGGTCCTATAACCCGATATTTGGCGGTCGTATGGTCATCCTTTTCGATCTGCATCTTTGTTGATTCTTTGGTCATTGCTGAACACCATACCTAGAATAAAAAAATATGACGGTCAAATTAAGCCCCTCTTTTTTTGAAGACCGTTAAAAAAGGACATTTATGTATATTGCAGTTTCTTCAATGTATTCATACTGAACTTCTAATAATGGATTGAATTAGAACTGAACTTCAAGCAATGAAACTTTTGAAAGGGTTCCTAAACGGCTTTATTTGTGCCTGCACTAGATAGATTTCGCTTAAATCAGTTTCTAAGGGGATTTCACAAAAAAATGTGACAAATTCGTAAAAAATGTTATAATAAGCGTAAGGTGATTTATAAAGAACTGCGAAATGCAAATAAGAATGCGCTGCCAAGAAAATAATGTATTTTACCTGAGCAAAAGAGATGAAGAACAGTTGTCGATCATTGTACTTTAATCCTGGTAACGTTAGGTTCACTTTTGCAGTCCTGCTGTAGTCCAGATACGCGTGGAACGATGCCTTCAAACCGCCGTTGTCAGCTATGTTCTCACCTGATGTATAACCAAAATTATTAGTATCTTAGATAAGTTACACAAAAAATGTCTTATATACTTTTGACTGGCAGAGAATGCCAAGTACACTTTATATTAAATTTTGCATAAAAGCTTAAATAAATAAATATACTTATTTTATTTGAACAATGTCGCTATTGAGGTAACATCTAAGAGGAATTAATACCCTGTTTTGAAAAACATCATAGACGGTTTAAAATCACGAAGAGAGATGTTCAAATGTGACTTCCACTTTCTGTTAGTAAGTTATTTATTGTTCTTATGTAATAGTCATGTTACTATTGCCATACACTCGGTGCTGTTCCAGTTTTTATGCTACTACTATCAATTACGCAAATCTTAAAGCGCTCACTCATTCATTATACTTGTTGTTTATATAGTCATAACGTTCAAATAATTACCAAGAGTCTGTTTCCCATTCAACCGGACACCATCTACCGAGTAATTGGAATATTGTTCCTGGAAGCATTTAGCTCGCCTCTTGAACCTGGCTATAGTCGCGTTGTTCCACCACTGGTTTAGATTACCATATCTGTTTCAGAAACAATAAAAATCAATAAGTTAGAACATATTATGTTTTTCAAATCAAATCAAATCAAAATCATTTATTCCAAATAAACCATAAATAGGTACTTTTGAAACGTCAAAATAGAATAGTAGTCTGTCAGTCTGTTCGTCAGTGAAGCTAGGTATTTTAAATGTATATAGTCTTTATATAACGTTTAAAGAAATAAAGAGATGATATACACTGTCAAAACCATTGTTTTTCTGATTCGAAATCAATTATTTGTACTTTTTTAAAATAAGGTACTCAACTATTTAAACTTTTTATGAGTCGTGTTGTGTTGTTTAAATATATGTAACTTTCAACATTTTCAAACCTGCCAGTCCAGCCATGCAGTAAAACTCGCAAGATTTTCAGGCGCAAAAAATCTAATAATATTTACCTGTCATACTCCCTTCCCTGATCATCAAAAGCATGGGTCAGTTCATGTCCCATTACAACCCCCATAGCTCCATAGTTGACACCCTTGGGGTTGTCTCCATCGTAAAACGGCAGTTGAAGTATACCAGCCGGGAACACAATCTGGTTCTTTGTGGGAGTGTAGTAGGCGTTCACTGTTGACGGTGTCATACCTAAACAAGAGCAATATTACGTTACAACTAATTTTTAGTAGTTCTCGTGTAACTGTATTATTATTAAATTTTAGCAACAACGCCATCTACATTTTGCAACAGGTAACTTTAAAACCTATTCTCAAATGTCAACATACAGATGTCGCTAAACTAAATCATAGTAACAAAATATTCTCACCCCATTTAGTCTTGTTGACAGGCTTGTCTAGTTTGTTCAGGTCGTTTTTCAGGCTGAAGACGTTGTAAGCGATGTTATTCTCAAAGTACTCGTTGGGTTTGACTTCTAGTTCTTCGTATTGCTTGTCCAGTTCATCCTTGTGGAGAATGTAATCAGGGAAACCTGGAATAAGAGTGTTGCAAGGTCATCTATACTAGAATATTAAAAAGCTGAAGAGTTTGTTTGTTTGAACGCGCCAATTTCAAGAACTGATGGTTCGAATCGAAAAAAAGGTGTCCAATAGACCAGTTATTGAGGAATGCTATAAAATATTACGCTACGATCTGTAGGAGAGTAGCTAGTTAATTAATAATGGTTGCCCTCTGGAAGCTGCAAAATCATCAACTTCTTAGAGGAATTCAAACAAGATCTTTTTTCATGTATGTTCTACCTACCAATCATATCAGTGATAGCATCAGCTTTGATCTCCGCAGCCTTTCTGGTCTCCGCATCCATCCAGTCCAGGTTCTTAAGGTTTCTCTTGAAGGCATTACGGATATTGTTGATCATGATCTCTCCTTGAGTCTTTGCTTCACCGTGGAATACTTCGCGAACAAACATGGCTCCTACTGCGAAACCTGGTGAAAGAAATGAGTTGGTGATTAGGTTTTGAAGCTTAATTATAAATATGAGTAGCCTATTTGATCTTACTGCTGACTAAAGGCCTCTTTGAACTCGAAAAACGGTTAGGCCTCAATCATCACGGCTTCTGAAGGCGATTTGCAAATCAAACTTATGATTAGAAATGATAGGTCCTGATTTTGATGTTGTGTTATTGGGAATGATTAAACGCGTAAAAATAGTGAAGGTTTGTGGTTAAGAGTTCAAGTGAACTATACAAAACACCACCAAATTTCAAAATTTGGGAACCTTAGAAAGAAACCAAGTCGAGGAAGGCCTGAAGTCGACTTTAAGACGCCCAAAAATCTGGTAAGCTCCAAACCACACACTGTCTTTGTATGATCTTAGATTTAAAAAAAAAGGTTTGTCCACACTATTGTTATTATTTTTTCTCCTGTGTCGTGGGTGCGTTAAAAATATAATTTCACACGCAGGTCCGGAACTACAGTTTGTGGATCACACAAAGAGTTGTTCCGTTCGTGAATCGAGCCCGCGACACGTTTGCCCAGCCACCGCGCCAACCGTGCAGTTGGTAGTAGTAATATGATCACATCCTCTTTACCACCAGCGTAAAGGACCACCCGAACTAGTAATCTTTTAATAGCATGAAGCAAGCAACCCGAGTTTTTTTGCTTCATGGTAAACAATGACGTCATCGCCTCGCGGATGAAATTAAACAGTGTCCTCTCACACCTACTTTATTATAGAATATAGAACACAATTCCGATATTGCGATATTAAATGATGATGAATTGATGAACTTGTTAAGGTTTTAGGTTATTTTCAAAGTGTGGGAGGTGCATGCTTCGGCACGAATGGGTCGGCTCCACATGATTTATACCACGGACTCACAGAAAACCGGCGTGATACAACCACAGCGTTGTGTGTTCGCCGTCTGAGTGAGGTTACCGGAGGCGCAATCCTTCCCCTCCCCCAATCCCTAATCCCCAAAGGGTTGGCAACGTACTTGAAACACTTTTGTTGCGGGTGTCCATGGGCGGCGCTGATTACCTACCACTAGGTAATCCGTGAGCTCGTTTGCCGACATATCACATAAAAAAAAAAATTCTAGGCTTGGTAATCAATGGCTTCTGATATGTTAATCTTGTTAAGAATGCGACGATGAAAAATAAATTAATAATATACTAACCAACAGCATTATTAGTATCTGTAACACAGTATCGCCAGGATTCCTCAGTGCCCTCTGACCCGAAGAGTGCCTTCCTCAGGATCTTGGTGGCATCACGGAAGGACTTGGAGAGGTAAGTCGAGAGAGAACGGGACACTTGCCACATCATGTAACTTGTTAATGTTCTGTAATAGAATATAATTCCATTTTGAGGTTATGATAATTAAGAACTTTGAGAAACACTGTTGCAATAACGATGGCCGCGCTAGGACAGGCCTACGACTGGTTTACAATGATCAACTGTTTTTGATAAAAGTACAAGATTCCTTAGTAGCTTTGCGAGAATCACATCACCAAATTATTTATTTTTTTTTATAAAAAACGTTGCCTATCCCGACATTAGGATTTTCTCCTGTGTCGTGGGTGCGGTTACAAACATACAATTTTACATACACATGACACCCAGACCCGGAATAACAATTTGTGGATCACACAAAGAGTTGTTCCGTGCGGGAATCGAACCCGCGACACGTTGCACGGCAGCCAGTTGCCCAGTCACCGCACCAACAGTGCAGTCAAAGTCAAATTTATAAATTAACAATCAGTTTTTATCAAGAAAACAATGAATGTTTTAATGCAAATAAGCCATAATACACTACTTTTACCTGTCATAAAAAGCACGTATGAGGAACTTAATTAGATATGATTGTTATTACCTTTGATCTTCTTCAGTTTTGCTGTATTTCTTAATGACTTTGGTGAGATTCTTGAAATACTCCGGCGCGTACACTACTATCCTTTCCGTGTCTGGTATCTGAAAAATGCAAAGATATGTTGTATCTTTAGAATGTAGACACTTAGATAGCCCAATAAACCATTTCGCTTTGTCCACTAGTAACTAATTGGTCAAATGAATTTGGTTCAAAAGTCGAACAAATTGTGATTTTTTAAAGTTCAATATTTAAATCGTCCGTGGACTCTAGAAGCTATAAATACCTAATTATTTATATTTATTTTATATTTTATATTATATTTGGAAAATAACCACATAGCATTTCAGAAAAAAAAACAACAAATAAAGGTATCGGTTCTGATGTCCAAAACCGATTTTTTGTAGGTATGTTATGTTTTTTTTGCGTTCTCAGATATCAAAAACTGAGAACATCCAAAAACTGAAAATAACGTGATATAACAGGATTTAACTGAGAAAAAATCTCGTTCCTACAAGGTGGACTCTTATTTATTAGAAGCGCTGTCGCGGTGACGTTTCGAGTCGGCTGAGCTTTTCTCAGCTCAGAATACAGAACAAACTGTATTCTGAGTTTCTCAGTTGATTCACACGAGTATTGTCAATAAACTTAGCAATTTACTTGATTATAGACAAATAATACTCACAGTCCTATTAACCAATTTAAAAGCATCATTGAAGAACATAGTCCAGTTCATAAAAGGAACTTCTTTTTGCCATTGCCTAATGGTATAAGGATTGTATAGGCCTTCTTCGTCCCTCCTGTCCTCAGATGGGGTAGTTATATTAGCCAGTTCCGTCTCGAAAAGTATAACTTTATTCATTTGAGCTCTTGCTTCCGTTCTGTTGGCCCCTAAGAGAACGCATATTCGCGTCATGTAATCTAAATATGCGTCTAAGACCTTTTTATGAGCTGTTCTGTTGAGATAGTTGTCTCTGGTCGGCAGGTTAAGACCTCCTTGGTCGAGCTAAAATGATAAAAAAGATTTCATTAAAAATCTATTTAAAATTTCAATCGTGGTAATTCAAGACACCAGAAACATTAGCAGAATAATAGGTGCGCCGGCGTTCGCTTGGGGTATGATGAATTAATTGAAAAAATAATTTTAGAGTTCATAAATGAATTAGGTACAAAGTCTGCTACTGAGTTCAGGATATTTCCAATCACCACCATCATCAGCTTTTAAGTGCCCACTGCTGAGCAAAGGCGTCTTCTCACAAGGAAAAGGTTTTAGCATCAATGACTACGCTTGCTCAAGGCGGATACTTCCAATTCAGAAAATCATGAGGAAAGGCCTAAGATCAACAATCCTACATTTGTTATGGAAATAACACGTTTAAAGCGGGAAAACTATTCTCTGAAGAATACCTGGAAAGAATCTTAGTTTGTTGTATGTTGTTTTTGCACATTTGTCCAGATAAGCAGTTAAACTTGAGGACTACTCACCACAATGACATGTTTAGACGAATTCCGGTCGTCTTCGGTAACTGCCCAGTTGAATAAACCGCCCAGGTTGTATCTGCAACATGTTAACACCGTGTGTTTAGAAAATATATCAAGCAGAGCTGTCATGATCACATCACAGAGCCGAGAAAAACAGTTTGTCGGTCGGGACGTTCTTACTTTTAAGGGTTGCCTAAAGGGTAAAAACGAGAACCCTATTATTAAGATTCTGCAGTCTGTCTATGTCTTTCTGTCTTTCTCATAGACAATTATAGATAGACAGTTAAAATTTGGACAATGATGTTCTTAAATATTTTTTTTGTTGACGCTTTAACAAACGTGATTTTTATATGGAACGTAATTATTATTGTCTGAAGACAAGAGGTAAGCTTACTCGTTGAAATGTTAATAAGTGTGGAAGAAAACGGGACCCCTTTTTGAGGAGGGAAAATCAAAAATGACTCTTCTCGCCCATGGTATGGCGAGAGGGAATGTCAGACCCTTACTGACTAATAACCCACCAGGCCGGGGTACCTTATTGCGTTTGACCCGCGACTCTGACACGACGGGATACCTGATGTGTATACAAATTGATTAGGTCTTTATCGTAGATTTTGATTCACATCCCAAAAATAATGTCCCAAAATCGGCAGGCAGCCAATGTCCCAGAATTAGTTTTATTATGCTGGGTTATTATCCTGTCATTTCTCATTTCTCCCGTCCCAGTTGCATACAGAGGGACTGTTAGAGTCTTACAACTAAAAACCACCTTTTCCTGGCTCGCAACGCTGTATAATTACGCTTGCACTTGCAACCCCAGCTGGAGCTACAGATACCAGCAAATTTGAAACTTACGTGTTCTGCACATGTTGAACCAATGTCTGCAGGTCCCATGGTTGCTTGGACATGGTACTTGGCAAAATGTGCCATCCTCCCAGCTTCTTAATAACAGCCAATAATGGCGCCTCTCCTAGTTTCTCAATAGTCTCATTCGCGTCTATGCAGGCATCATAGTAGATCCTGGCTTTAGCTTCAGCGTCAGCTGGGTTTGAGATGTTCACTTTTTCTGGAAAGAGAGAGAGAAGGTCAGATGTTAAAAGTGCTTCAATGAGAGAAGCATGCTTTATCACGAATGAGTCGGCTCGACCGGAGTGGTACCAAGGCCCAGAGCCAAAAGACCACTACAGATGAATCCCAAAATTGCTGATATTCAGCCGAGGTTGCGTGGTGCGACAGGATAGCGACCTCGGCCTGGAGCAGAAGAAAGAACGCGGTGTCTTAGAAGAATGTCAGAACGTCTTTTAATTGTTGCCTTAGTATTTAATATTATTAATGAAATTCTAAGAAATACTCTTGCTTGACAGTTGTAACTACCTATAATCTGCAGTTATTTGGTAAGCGGGTAAAAAAAGAAAAATTGACTCAGCATAAAAACAGTACCTACCTAGCTATTGTGACAATAAGTTTTGTGGTTTTTCATGAAGCCATATCTTATGTCGTCGTGGCCCAGAGGTTAAGGAGCCCGCTTTTCATGCATGAGGGTGTGGGTTCGAAACCTGGCAAGTAACAATGTGACTTTTTCCAAGTTATATGTACGTTCTATGATTATTTTTCGCTGCATTAACCTGGACTTATAATTTCTAATTATCAGTTTGAAATCACCAACCCGCCATGAGTAAGCGTAGTGATTAATAAATCTAACCTTCTCCGTATGAGAAGAGGCCTTTGCTTAGCAGTGGGCACTTATATGCTGATGAATATCTTTTGTCATTTGGTCGGCTCAGTGCCTAATTGGTACCTATTCTATCTCTCTTTACTGAATCAATCTATGTAGACTTTATTATGACTACCTACTTATAAAACTTGGTGATATTACAAAATATTCCGAAAACCAATTGCCTATATTTGTTCAATGGTAACTTTGTTAGTTTATTTAACCTTATGTATTTACATGAACATTATATAGTTTTGAAAGACGTCAAAAATCCATGAAGGCACATAATAACAATATAAGTTTATATACAAATATTAACACTTTATATGGTAGGTAGGTACCTACTTTTTGTTCGTGAAATATTATTTGGTGCTATGTACTTATACGTTTGGGTTAGTAAATAATGATCGCATATAATGTTACAAAGAAGATAAATTGCAGAAGGTTTTTTGTGAGGGAAAGTCATCAAATGTCTTTCTCGCATTATTATATATGTTATAACAAAACTGAGTATAGGTTTGTTGCCCTTATTATAGTTGTCTTTGAGGTCCTCTGCAAGTTTTTACAACCCATGCCGTACGGCTATAAAAGACGTAAGAAAAAGGTATAAATGTATTTTTTAAGTGTGAAAGAGTATGCTTCGATTCGATAAAACTGGACTAACGCCATGATCAAAAATCGTGTGTGTGTTTACCGGAAGCCCGATCATTCTCGAGCATCCTCCCTGCAGCCTTTTTTGAATAGGGAAAATCATCGAATGACTTCTCTCGCCAGAGAAGAGTACAGAGAGAGAGAGAGAGAGAGAAAGAGAGAGAGAGAGAGTCAGACTTACTGACTAAAATTCCCCCGTTCCTTCTCCTGCTTCAGGGCGAGGCTGCGGTACCTTATTGTGCTTAACCCGCAACCCCGCCTGAATGCAACCTGGATCCGCAACACTCAACCCTAAAATCCTTAACCTCCAAAAAGCTAGCAACTCACTTGCAACTTGAGGTGGGCCGCCTAATCCCTTGGATATATGCGTGGAGTTAAACTTGTGATTTCAACTGTATCGTGACACCGCGAAGTAGAAAATGTGTAACATAAAGTTATTCTTACATTTACATATAACATGAGAAATGATAACTCGTATATTATAATTATAATTCACAATAGTTTACTAATTTGTTGTGAATATACTATTTAAATGTTATTGAAACAAAGTGCCGAATCTCGGTGCCTTTTAGAACTATCCTGTTTTTATACGAACTACATTTATGTGTATATACAGAGTGTTATTTTGAACGAGGGACATAGTCAAGGAGCCGATTTTGGTGCTCAATCACAGCAACAGCTTTTTTACACAACATAAATTTCTTTCGCCATACAAATCGTAATAGCTGATAGATCATTCTGCATGAATAAGTAAACATTTAAGTGAGATTTCCATATTATGTGTCCCATGGAAGAAGTTGTTGTAAATGAGCACCATAATCGGCTCCTTATATCTTTTTTGGGACACGCCCGTAAACGTAACAATGCAACCACGGAGTAAGAACAAAGAATGCAACTCATGTAACTCTCTAATGCAGTAATGATAGCTTACTAAAAAAACCCCCTGTTCCTTCTCCTGCTCTGGGCCGAGGTCGCGGTGCCTCATTGCGCTTACCCCGCAACCCCGGCTGAACTACTAATGATAACTTAGAATTCTATTTTTCAATACATAATCACTCTATATAGTATGGAGCTCAAACCAACATGAATATTAATTCTCATTAATATAGTAAATTAATGGATGTATGTTTGTTATACTTTTACGCAAAAACGACTGGACCGATTTGGTTGAAATCTGGCATGAAGATAGGTTATTAACACATAGGCTGTTTTTTACCAACATAATAATACATATATTTACGACGCGGGCAAAGCCGCGATTAGCGAAGATAAATAAACATAGATCACTATCTTTTAAACTAAGAGGTATTTGGTAGGTATACATATCTTAATGTCTATTTTGAAAACAAGGAAATAGGTTATCTACTATGTATCGTATTAAATTCTCAATGAATGTGGGTGTAAAATAAAAACATTTGAATAAATCTATCGATGAGATTTTAAATCGTAAAATGTTCTTCATGGGCTAAGGAAAAATTGGCAGCGAGTTCGTCTTGGAGAATTTTAAAAGTATTGTTATGATTTATTAAACGCATTCGTCGAATTTTTCACTGACACGGTGCAAAGAAAGCAATCATTTCTTTTTTATTTTCATACGTTAGTATATATAGTTTAGGTATGTATTTCTGTGAATGTACCTACTTGCGCTTTTTTAAACTTTTGCTCAGAATTCCTTGTAAGAATGTTTGTAGTATGAAAGATGGCGCCGCTTTCCCCACGTTATCGCCCTTTTAGACAAATCGAAGATCTTTTAATGTGATAGTTCGGCAGAGGTACAGACTTATTATCTAATGGTAAGCATACACCAGTAACACCAGAGCCGACCTTATGGCGACTAGGATTTCAGAGATTTAAGGGTGTGTGGCAGAAGAGAGCTGAGGCGAGCGTACTGCGCGTAGCGTTCCGCGCGCGCCTCAAAGAGCCAATAGACCACCACAGACGGGGTCCTATAGGGCTGATGTTCAGCCGGGGTTGCGGGGTAAGCGCAATGAGGCACCGCGACCTCGGCCCAGAGCAGGAGAAGGAACAGGGGGGTGTTTAGTCAGTAAGAGTCTGACACTACCTCCCGCCCGGCCCTGGGCGGGAGAAGTCATTTGATGACTTTCCCCCCCCCCAAAAAAAACACTCACTAAATTCGTTAAAAAACAAATTCTTAGAAAAATAACCATAAAGATGCCATAAGGAAAATGAAGAAAAATATTTTTTCTCTCGCTTCATTACACAATCGCGGCTGTAAACGTTTAAGAATATGACGGGTCATGACACTTGTGACTTTATGATAATTTCCTTTGTTGCCATAACAAAATGGTGCGTAGGTTTATCTATGTTCCAGTAGTCACTATAGTTAAAAAAATTAAAGGAAGTGGAGTTTGTTTGTTTGTTCCACTTTTACGCCGTAAATACTTAACCGATTGATTTGAATTTTTGCAAACGATTAGTTAGAAGTCCGGATGAAGTAATAGCGTACTTTTATCCCGGATGATTTTGATGTTCCTAGGGGAAAACGAATAATATTGTTAGCATCATACCAGTTCGGTTCGGCGATAGATGGCGCTGTGTGTCGTTTAAAATAATATATAATATATTGCAAACGAAAATGCACATTTAAAATTCCATGCTGGCGAAGCCGTGGGTGGAAAGCTAGTAAGTAAATTAATATCCCCTCAGAAGAATTTGCCCACCAGTAACTTCACTCAAACACAATTAACCGTATTGTCACGTCGGCACTCACATCAATTTGGAAGCCGTGGTATCACTCCGGTCGAGCCGCACACTCTATGGTCTACAAATCTATGATCTTCATGACTTACCAAGAGCATATCTGATGGTCAACTGATTCTGCAGCTCGATCTTGCTAAAGATGCCCCAACTGGACTTTCCTTCAGGTATGGGGTTGTTCTTGATCCAACCACCACAGGCGAATTCGTAGAAGTCTTCGCAAGGATCCTGGGTCTCATCTAGAGCTCTGATCACCTCGCTTGCTGTGTAGATACAGGAGCCTTTAAGGCATACAGCTTGATCTGGAAGAAAGATCAACATATTGAATTCTTTTCTAGATATTCGGTAGCTAGGTTATATTTAAAAGAGGTTCTTTTAGGAAGTGGCTTCGGATAATTTTTTCCTGAGTTTGCTATAAAATCGAGAGAAACCTAGATTCGACACGAACGAAGTCGCTGAGCGAAAGTTAGCATGACACATTGAAGGGCTTTTTAAATGACAACCTTTGAGTTATCTACTTAAGAAACGTTTCTTTGTAAAATAAGCAGCTAGCTAGCGAGCAGGGGTAGCTATGAGAACCAGAACCATGTGTACATTGAAGAACGCGTTTTGCACCAAGAGGATGGACCGCCACACATAAGACCGATGCCCAGTCGGGGTTGCAGGTACTAATGCAATAATGTACTGCTTCCCCTGCCCGGAAAAGCAGGAGTGTGTTTTTATGCAATAGATAAGAGCCTAACACTCCCTCTCACACCACATAGAGCGGTAAAAATCACTAGAGGATTTTCTTCCCTCAAAAAACACCCTATGTACGTCAAAAAAAAAAAAGACGTGTCTGTCACATAGCCGAACGTGCAAAACGTCTGTCACGTGATATTTCAAAAAGAGTTGGACAGATGTAACCAACTCTCAATATTAGGGCTAATTTTGAAACACATTTTTGAATATAGAACGTTAATATTATGAACTATCTACCACATTAGTACACCGGTTTTTTTTGTGAGGGGAAAACCACTAAATGACTTTTCCCGCCCAGGGCCGGGCGGGAGGGAGTGTCAGACTCTTACCCCCTTATTACAAAACAAGGTTTATCTTTAGTCCAGGTTTAAACCATTGAGTCGGGTTTTGAATTTTGAATCTTATTGTCATCTACCTTCAATTCTAAATACGAAAACTGGCTCAATGGTGTTTAGTCCTAGACTAAAGTAAAACCTTGTTTTGTAATAAGGCCGTTACTGACTAAAAACCTCCCTGTTCCTTCTCCTGCTCTGGGCCGAGGTCGCGGTGCCTCATTGCGCTTACCCCGCAACCCCGGCTGAACATCAGCCCTTTAGGGCCCCGTCTGTGGTGGTCTATTGGCTCTTTGAGGCGCGCGCGGAACGCTACGCGCCGTACGCTCGGGCCTGGTTCTGGTTGGGCGGCGAGCTGCCCTTACTCGCCGACCGCAGACCCGTGCATAAGAACACCGATTACTTACATAATATGAAGTGGTGAAACAGGCAAATGGCGTTGTCAATAGTAATGAATTCATAGACAGTTATGATCAGCTAGATATTTATTTACGACTCATAAAGATAATAGAATCATATGCCCGTTAGTACTAGTATGGATATGCCATAAAATTGCGAATAACAATGGAACATTCTGTTTCGCTTGCCCAATTACTTTTATATTTATGTGTGTGTTGATCAAAGACACCGCCGGGTGGTCGCATCCTATTTTGTTATTGAGCTTCTTCATCATCATATTTTTAGACGAAGTGATGCTGTTCTATCTATCTTGGTAATTTCAATTTAAAATTTGTTTTATACTATGTAGTATTCACACACAACATAAAACAAAGTCACCGTCTCTGTCGCTATATCCGTATGTAAGTTTAAACCTGTAAAACTACTCAACGAATATTGATGAATTGAATAACAGAGAAATTTAGAATCAGCAATGCAAATGTGTGAAGCCGGGGCGAGTGATGAAAACCAACAGAAAATATTTCAGACCTTTTTTACCTCAATTGCTAAATTTCGGATCATTTTAGAAAGAACTCCCCAAAAAATTACCATCGATATAAGAAGGACCCACTCCTCTACTAAAAGATTTGGAAATCTCTGTGAAGAAATTTATTGTAGGCTTATTCCTTTTCGCATTTTGAATATGACTCAGACTGAATATGAGGTCCAAAAAGTCTATCTGCAGTTTTTGCAATTTTGTCACTCTATTTCCAAGCAATTATTTCCTTACATGTAATTATTAACGTTTTTTTTTTACTATATTATTTAATTCTTACCTCTGGTCTCAGGCTGGTAGCAGGGTGGCACAGGCAGGTAGCTGGGTCCCCTCATCGTCAGCAGCAGGGTGATGGTCAGAAGTACAGCTACGAAAAGTACGGCAGCTATCACCATCAGCGCCCGCTCCAGGCGGGTCCTTTGGTGCCAGCCGATGAAGGAGACTCCCTGGAAAGAAAAAGATCATTTGAATTTAGGTCATGTGTTCTACAATACTTCAAAAGAGGTGATAAGCATTCATGTAGGCTGTGATGATACCCCCTAAAAGACTGATAGTTCAGCTGAAGGTAAGCTGAAAGAAGAATCGTGGGTTATGGATGCATGTGTTGGTAATCTTATTTCAATGAAACTAAATTACTTGTGGTAAGAGACACTTCAGCCATTTTGTCACGACTATTCTCAGACTACAGTTGCCCGGAGACTAAGGTTTCTTATGCATAAAGAAATCCGAAATCTTGCTGCTACTAATGTAACTTTTTCCGAGTTTTATATAAGTAAAATAATCTTTGTAAAAACATTTAACATTTACAAGGTTTATATGTTTTTACAAAGATTATTTAGACGACGCTGATAAACGGTGAAGGGAACCAATGCGAGAAACCTGTACTTATAAAATTTGAAATTTGAAATCCGCCTTGAGCTTGATGATGAACACTCAAACTTTAGTTATATTTAGTTTTGAACCTTTGCTCAGTAGTAGACCCTTATAGACTGATAATAATGATGATGATGATGATAAAAATTCTAAGACAGATAATAAAAACATTCGTCGATCCAATAACCAAACTTTTCAAGTGCAGCTGAACCGCAGAAAATCATATTCTGTAGTAACATGTGTAGTTGCATCCTATACATACATATGTAGGATGATCTTAAGAGCTAAAACGTGGGCAGGTAATTACCTAATCAGGTTAAGTAGCGGGGTTTGTTATGTTGTTAATTAGATCCATTTTAATATGTTTACCAACGATCCACTGTACAACGTAAATCTAATAAGAACTGCCTCGTCCATGAAGTTATTTGAAGTGACTCTACACTTGGATTTAGGTCAAGTACGAAAACTTGAATTGGATAGTATCATATAAAAAGTATTCGTATTAGGGCCTTGGTGACAATATGACAGCTTTTATTCAAAAGTGATCGTACCTTAACAAATACTCTGGCTGATGAAGACCTTCTTCAAAAGCTCGTGAAAGTTAATTTCTGATCATTTCAGATCTACAGGTATGTTCAGTCGGTCCAGAATGGGTTGCGTGTGCAGAAGCAACCATGCAACTTGGCCGTGCTCAGAGCAGGACAAGGAACGTGTTGATTTTTATTAAAAACCTGCCAATTACCAACGTGACTTTTTCCGAGTTTTTTATAAGTACTTTTTAAAGTTATGCTGTCATGTTGTCACAAACGGTAAAGAAAAACATCGTGAGGACAACCTGAATACGCCTTGAGCAACAGTGGTGGTTGATGCTCAAATATGCACCGTGTGGTAAATGCCTGAACTCAGCAGTAGGCACTTACAGGCTGATGAAGATGATTATTTGTTCAAAAAGTAGCAGAATTGTTATAAGAATGTCAAATCAAAACATAATAATTGGCGTCAAAACCTCCATCTTGCTTGAGAAAAGTGTCAATAGAAAATACAAAAATATTTTTGGTAAACGTCTACCGATAAGTAGTAGGTTTTTATAGGGTCTTCTGAAACTTTTTTCTCATTAATATATTGCTTTAAATGTAAGGTGTGTAAGGGATTGTGTGACGTGATGTCGTGTTTGTATCCTTTACGTCAAATTAAATAATAATTTCTTTAAAACTAAGGAAAATTAAGGGATATAGTTAACATTAAATATGTCTCTGACGACAACTTCTTTAGAACTTTGTTTTCAAAAGGAATCCCCTTATCAAAGTTGACTGACGTCATTCAAGCTATTAGTCCAGTTACAGTACTGACAAGGAACGCCACTTTGTTTTTGATAACCCGTCCCTATGATGGACGATGTTTGTTGTTGATTTGTAATCTGTGATAATGTTTTGAAGACACTGGTCAAGGAGTAGTAAGACTTTTTGAGTGGACAAAATCGTCTTATGACTTCTCTCGCCCTGGGCCCTGGCCCCTGGATGGGATGAAAGGGAGTGTCAGTAAGCTCTTACTGCCTAAAAACTACTCCATTCCTTCTTCTGGTTCAGACCGAGGCTGCGGTATATTATACGCGGTGCCTCACCTGTAGAGTCATACCATGATCTATGCATGTGCTCCATACCTTTTCCATTGGTGATAATATTGTAGGTAATCTTTCGGAAACTAACCCGCGGTTTCTGAAAGGCTTGTCAACGCTAAAATTTTCTAATCTTCTGTTAAATCTCTCGTCAAGTCATCTGATTGGTTGGTGATAATTCAGTTAACCAATCAGATGACTTGACACGAGCTTAAATTGATTTTAACATTGATCGGCCTTTCAAAAACCGGGTGTAAGTATGTAAGATACTTCGGCACGAATGGCGACCATGATGATATCACGGTCTCACAGAATACCGGCGTGAAACTACTTGTTTTGCCTTGTGAGTGAGGTTACTAGAGGATCAGCCTTCCCCCTTCACATCATCAATCTCCAAATCCCCTATTCTAAATACCTAAACCCTAACTACTTACAAAACGGCAACGCAATTTAATCACAATGTCCGTGGGCGGCGCTGATTTCTTGCCATCAGGATATTCGTCGGCTAGTTTGCATGCTTATAATGTCCTATTCCAATGTCTAATACAAAGCACAATGTTAAAAATTATTCTTTTTGTATTTTCAAGCAATACCTATACCCAATAAGATAAGTAAAAAGGTATAGATAGGTTACAAGCACTCAGCAAGTGATACATTAAAATGTGGCTAACTAGCCACACTTTTTCATATTTGTCTCTTTTTCACTCGCGATCATTGAATCATGCCATCCCACTTTAACGTGTATTATACGATTTATTCATGTGTGCATTAGTGTGCCGTTTTTGAAAATCGAATGTTGTTTATGAAACCTATCTATACCATTTTACTTATAATATCATTGCCTATAATAACTAAGATATGCAATTTCGAAATTTCTAGATTTCGTTCGTCGTTTACCAATACATCATAAATAACTGTAGTAAAGGTTTTTATTTTTATTTATTTTTTATTTATGGTTTAATTTTTATTTAATTAAACATAGATGTAGAATTTAAGTATCGTTTCATCCTGTTATTTTTAAATATAAATAGTAGCATTATTTCCTTAATTTAAAAACAATTTATGTACTTATGATTATTTAACAATGTATAATATCTTTTTACCCATTTTCGCCTGAAACACAGGTTGTCCTAGTTCAGGCACCCAATATTATGAACTTGGTATAGCTTTAAGCAAAACTGTATATTCTAGATTATGTGTTCTTCAATAAATTTTATTTATTATTATATATTTATTAAAATTACTCTAAAAAATCATATGGCTGGTCGATAAAAGTTATTTCCTGAGATCGAATAACTTCTTCAGAGAAGGTAGGTCAGCCTAAAGGTCATAAATTCAATCTAAGATTTTTTTTTTTATGTAATAGGTCGGCAAACGAGCAGACGGATTACCTGATGGTAAGCAATCAGCGCCGCCCATGGACACTCGCAACGGAGGAGTTACGAGTGCGTTGCCGACCTTTTAGGGATTAGGGATTTGATTTAGGGATTGAGGAGGGATTGGGGAAGGGGAAGGATTGGGCCTCCGGTAACCTCACTCACACGGCGAAACACAACGCAGTGGTTATTTCACGCCGGTTTTCTGTGAGGCCGTGGTATCACTCCGGTCGAGCCGACCCATTCGTGCCGAAGCATGGCTCTCCCACACTTGGCATGGCTCTCCCACACTTAGCTTAGATTCATCTTGTTTCGTACTTTCAACCGTAAAATTAGTAAAGTTAAGGTCGACGGTCATTTGGAGAACGAAAAGGGTTGTTTGCTTTCTTGTTTTTTTTTTATATACTGTTTCATTGTACGTATTGGTCAAGTTGTTTGTTTTTATTTTGAGGGGGGAAATTATCAAGTAACTTTCTCGTCCAGGGTGAGATCAGAGGGAGATTCAGACTCTAACTTAAAGTCGGTATGATTGTTATGCTTTTCGCAAAAACTACTTGACCAATCATTCAGAAACTTTGTGCATATTTTTTTATGTGATAGGTCGGCAAACGAGTTACCTGATGGTAAGCAATCAGCGCCGCCCATGGCCACCCGCAAGCATGGAGGAGGTACAAATGCGTGGGCGACCTTTTGATTTGATTTGGAGATTTCGGGATTGGGGGAGGGGAAGGATTGGGTTTCCGGTAACCACACTCACATGGCGAAACACAACGCAGTGTGGTTGTATCACACCGGTTTTCTGTAAGGAAATACATATACTCGGACCAGAAGTATCATAATATATCAGGATACTGTTTATCAAAGATGTTTTTTAATATACAGTTTATATTATTTTTTCATAAAATATATTTCGTAACTACTACTGTAGCTGTTGACCCACCATAAAATACATAAATAATGGATTCTACACGACACTAATACTACGGGCGTCGGGGATCAAGGGACGATCTCCAGCCACCGTAAGCGCAGGTCTGTGGACGGCGAGTAAGGACAACTCGCTGCCCGACCAGAACCAGACCCGAGCGTACGGCGCGTAGCGTTTCGTGCACGTCTCAAAGAGCCAATAGACCACCACAGACGGGGCCCTATAGAGCCGATGTTCAGCCGGGGTTGCGGGGTAAGCGCAATGAGGCACCGCGACCTCGGCCCAGAGCAGGAGAGCGAACAGGAGGGTTTTTAGTCAGTAAGAGTCTGACACTCCCCGCCCGGCCCTGGGCGGGAGAAGTCATTTGATGATTTTCCCCGCACAAAAAAAGGGTATCATCTATCTACATAAAATATTTGCGTGAAATAACAACAAAGTATACATCCATATATTCTCAGATACATTTATGATATTAGTAGGGCATGTCTGTATGTATACCTTACCATACATAATATATTTTCCACATGAGATATTTACGAAGGGAGGGTCGATCGTGGATATCAAATGGCGCGTTAGTAATCAGATCTGCTTAAACCTAGTTACGATAAGGGAAGCTGAGGGAACGTGATCGAATCTAACTCGGTTACTGGTTTACAA